TTTTTTTTTTGCGGTACGCGGGCCTCTCACTGTTGTGGCCTCTCCCGTTGCGGAGCACAGGCTCCGGACGTGCAGGCTCAGTGGCCATGGCTCACGGGCCCAGCCGCTCCATGGCAGGTGGGATCTTCCCGGACCGGGGCACGAACCCGTGTCCCCTGCATTGGCAGGCAGACTCTCAACCACTGCACCATCAGGGAAGCCCCTGATATTTTTAAATAGAATAATCTATCAATCAATTTATAGGCCAGGCAAATGTCTATATAAAACTTTAAAACAGTGTCGAAACAATTTTTTATGGATACTGTCTTTTTGAGTGACGTGGTTCTAGAACTTATTTTTTAAAACCATTTTTATCTTTATGAGACTCTTAAAATCTTTCTCATTATCTGAGGGATTCCAAATTTCCACCCTTGAATTTGCCTAAACATTGTGTTAGCGTGCGCATGCGTGTGCGTGCACACACACACACACACCCACGCCCCATACAACGCCCACAACATCATCCCCCATCTCTCTGGAGCGTTCAGGTTATCCCCTGTCTCATTTTTTTTTTTTTTACATCTACCACTCCTGGTTAGGTTGGAGTGCTGGATGGGTGGCTGCTCCACTTCTCTTTTCAACCTAGTGGGTATTAAAGTTTAAAAAGACTATGGTGTTGGGATTATAGTGGTTGAAGCTGCTCAGAGACCTGCCCCTTTGCATTTACTGCCTCCAACAAAATACCACAAAATCAAGCCCCCTCCGAAGTCCTAGGTCTCTCACAGTATATCACTGGAATGTATAATATCAATGAGTCTTATGTTTATATTTTTCTAAGAGGAAACTACTGGTCCTTTTACCTGGAGTGGTGGAGGTGGAGGGAATGTAATCATAGGTTGTGACCTCTCCAGAGCCTGGATCCTATAGCTACATCCTGCTTACCCTTAAATTTCAGTGCCACCAATTCAGAATTTGTAGATGTTGAGTGAGTAAAATTTCTCCTAGAAATTTACGTCAGGCTGTGATGAGGGTGCAGCTTGTTAAGCAAGTTAATAGTACAAATTAGGTTGTTAGAGTCATGTCTGGACTACCTTGAGGAATGTTTTCAAGGAATTAGCCTGTTTGTACCTGCCAGTAGATACTGCTATTTACATATGTATCTCTTACACCCTTTGATCAAATCAAACCCAGTAGCAACTCTGCTGGTTTATTTAGTATCTCAACTTGATGTGCTACTTTTCTTCATGCTGTTTTAAAATTTGTTTTTTGGTCCAGAATAATGAGATTTTCTTTCTTCATGCCACAGAATTTCCCTCAAATAGGAAAATTGTTGCCAATTTTTCTGACTTGTCTGTCATTTTGCCTCTGACCCTAAATATAGTAACTAGCTAATTGCAAATTAAGCCAGTCAGGTTTTACTACAATTAAATGGGGTGCTGAATTGGCCTTTATACATTAATCTGTCAATATTCTTTTAGGGTTTGGCAGAATGGCTTGGAAAGGAAGCTGTTTCTGTTATCTGCACTATGTTCCTAATTATCACAGCTCTCTGAAGCTTCAGCCTCAGAAATGTATAGACAAAAATATTTCCCTTGATAAATGGAACCTTGCTTTATTCCATTGGTGGAAGTTCAGAGTAGAGCAAAATATTTAAAGCTTTACTATAATGGTCTGAAAGCAAACTATTTTTTTCCAGGTGATATTGAATTAAAAACTCCATCCATTTCCTGCCCATGCAAGGCAGTGCAATTCCCTGGAAATTGATTTTTTTCAGGGCTTACTATGGCTTTTCCCGAGCTTTAGCTATATGGAAAATAACACCTTTATTGAATCCATTTAGTGAATAAAGTTGGCAGTTAATTTTTGAGCAACTGGACCAGTGTGTAGAAAATTACTGAATGCCTCAGATAGAATCTGACTAGTCTTAAAGTCATTTGATAAATAATTATTTAGGGAGTTCTTTCAAACTCTAAAACATTATTTTTGGGGTACTAAAATAGTTCACTTCTATTCACGATTCAAATGAGAGTAGTATTTGTGGTATAATAGTTTTACAGAACCTGGGAAAATGCACATACTGTTTTATATAATAAATTACAAAAAGACTTTATATGAATCACATGCCTATCTATTTTCCTTTTATGCATTATAATATTTGACTATATGTGCATTTTAAAGTGCATTGATTTAGCACTTTTCCATGAGCATAAGATTTCTACCCAGCTATTGCTGTGTACTAATTTATCATTTTCAAAAAAAGGCTATATTGGGCTTCCCTGGTGGCGCAGTGGTTGAGAGTCTGCCTGCCGATGCAGGGGACACGGGTTCGTGCCCCGGTCCGGGAAGATCCCACATGCCGCAGAGTGGCTGGGCCCGTGAGCCATGGCCACTGAGCCTGCGCGTCTGGAGCCTGTGCTCCGCAACGGGAGAGGCCGCAACAGTGAGAGGCCCGCGTACCGCAAAAAAAAAAAAAAAAAGTAAAAAAAGGCTATATCTACTCTCGGAAAATCGTTAACATTATTCAGTTAGTTTGTTTAATGTTAATTAGAGGGTCACTTGAGTTTTCAGGGGCTGATTTATTTACAAATTGTGCATTGGATTACTAGAAGTGTGTGTGTGTGTGTGTGTGTGTTTTCTTGCCAAGTTTGACTTTGGTTATGTGCAGTGCTGTTTGGCAGTGGTTATGTAGTGCTGGAGACTGTGTTCTTATCAGTATCTCTGACCTGACCCTTTTGAGCTATGTTATATCATTCCATTTTGACACCTTTTATCAAACTTTAATGAAATGACCCAGGCAAACAAATTGTCATTAAACTTTCCATCACTTTGTCCCTTGGTATCGTCTTTTATAAATTGGACAGCAAATGTTGTATTGATCTTCTCGTTCTTGCAGCTGAACTTGAAATGACCCAGACTGCTTGTTGTTTATGGCCCAGAGTTGCTTTTCCTTGACATTTCCATCCACAGCATGACACCCTTTTTGTTTTTCTTTCTTTCTTGTGGAGATGAATGAACAAGACATACGGTATCGAGACACTCTTGGTCATGGCAACGGAGGCACAGTCTACAAGTGAGTAGTCAATTTTGTTTAAACTTTCTATCCACTTTTGCCAAATGTGGGTATCCAAGTTCTCCATGGCAAAGATTTTTAAATGACCACCAGTGCTTAGATTTTATTTCCACATTTGACTCCAAAATTCTGCAAGGAATCTATTTTCTCAGGAATTGCTTGGAAAAGTGCATTTATATTGCCTTTTTAATATTTCTGAGTCTGCATCTCTCCTGGGTGAGCATTTAATAGTCCACCATTAGCAAGTGTACCTTTAACCGGCCTGAAGTTTAATGTATTTTTTTCCTTCGCTCTTTAACACCGTTATTTTTATTTTTTTTAACTTGCTAGCACCCTATGCTAGTCCCCTGCCTGTGTACGTACAGCTATGCTCAGTGGAAGACAAACCTTATAAATACCATTGCTTTGCCCTGTGTCAACACTCAGTTATTAAAAAGCCTTCTTCCTGTTGTGTTTCCTTCTCTCCTCACCCTACTCCCTGAGAGAATTTCTACACATTAATGAATATGTTAAGTTATAAAATTCTCCCAAATTCCAATTGCAGTGATCTTACCCTAAAGAAGTGTTCATTTTCATATTAAAAAATGTTAACCGTAAAAAATAGTTCTCTCAACAGGGAAGTCTTTCTCGTGCAGTAGTGCAAAGTTTAAACTACATAATGTAATGTCTGGTACTTAATAGTCTGCAATGGTGTATGAAAAATATTCCACTAGGAATTAAAAAATCCATACTCTGTAAGAAAGCCCTGAGGGAGTAATAAAGCTTTCCTCCAGAGAGCTGTTTTCCATATATACACTAACCCTGCATCACATTATGATTGTGTTTTTACCTTAGATGTTTTACTATTGATATTAATATATATTTTCAAAGTTGTAAATTATTTAATTTATGTTTAACTGGTTACTGATTTTCTTAGAATTTTAAGTTCTTACTAATGACGTGAATACAGATAAAAATTGCCCTGTTGCAAAATCGCCCTGTTGCCCATGAATGCGAAAGATCACATCCTAAAATTCCAGAACATCCTCCACACAGATACAGTGTTGGCATAGAATCAGATTTCTCAGGGTTAGAAGCTCCTTCAAAGTTATCTGATCCAGTCCCCCACCCAGGGCTTCTGTCCTCTCTGTAGATAGAGCCAGGATGTGAGTCCTTTCTCCTAAAGTCCTTTAACATAGTCCTTTAAGAACGTATGCTTACATATTTGGATTGTTTTCCTATAGATAACTGACTATGGTGAATAGTTGGTCTGAAAGTTAAGTGCTTCCACTATGATAATTCAGAGAATTAAATAATAACACATTTCTTTCACAATCCTTGGGTCTTGCCCTTAAAATGTGTGATGTCTCATGTGTCTAAAAAGTTTGTTGTCCTTCCGTGAATCATACTAGCATTCCTTCCCATGCAGTCCCCCAGTACTGCATAAATAGCATCTCTTCGTCCTAGTCTTCTCTTCCTCACTCTTATCTGACTTGACTTTTTACCCTGTCCTGAAGGTTCTTGAGTTCAGGTACCTTTAGAAATAAGAAGGAACATGTACACTCCAATTTACTTCTCTTGAGTTCCCTGGAGGGAGCGGTTCTCAAAATCTCAACCTTTCTTTTTCTTAATGCTTTTATGCTGGTGTTCAGGTGTAATAAAACAGAAAAGATGTCTAGCAACTCTTTTGACTCCTTTTATTGGTCGAATAGAGTCCAAAAACATTTCTTTAGACTCCTAACCTACTTATTTTTGTTGTTTCACCAAATGTTTGATTCTCAAGCATGTTTTTATTTTTTAATTGAAGACCTATTGTGAATTTACTATCCTAGAAGGGTAGGATATTATTCTAGATATTATTCTAATAATTATTTATTATTCTAGAAGGGAGAAAGCGTAAGACCACCAAACTCCATCAGGTAATTTTTATTAGAAATAATATCCTAGATATTAAAATTTTAACCTTTTATCTTAAAACAGGTTCATAAAAAAAGGGGAGAGGGGATACAGGGAAGTGGAAATAATATGCCCATCCAGCAAGGAAAAATTACAACATAAAATTATGTTAGTGTTGTTTTTCTTTAACTGGTATTCTTGATTGTGGTAGAAACATATAACATAAAAATTACAATCGCAACCATTTTTAAGTCTACAGTTCAGTGGCATTAAGTACATTCACACTGTTGTGTAACCATCACCACTGTCCATCTGCAGGACTCTTTTTGGCTTGCAGATCTGAAACCCTATACCCATTCAACAATAACTCCCCATTCGCCTGGGTTATGTTGTTTTTAGCTAAGAAGCATGGCTAGACATTTTCTTTTTATTAGGGCCACAGTATCCAAGGGGACGTCCTTAAGCATGAGTTCTTCAGTTTGCTAGGATGTTGCGGTGACATTAGCGACTTATCCTGGGTTCATTTAGTTAGCTACCATTGCTAATGCTCAGTATGTATTGTAAGATTTAGTATGGTTTTTTTTTTTTTTTTTTTTTTTTTTCTGCGGTACGCGGGCCTCTCACTGTTGTGGCCTCTCCCACTGTGGAGCACAGGCTCTGGACGCGCAGGCTCAGCGGCCATGGCTCACGGGCCCAGCCGCTGTGCGGCATGTGGGATCCTCCCGGACCGGGTCACGAACCCGTGTCCCCTGCATCGGCAGGCGGACTCTCAACCACTGCGCCACCAGGGAAGCCCTTAGTATGTTTTTGACAGTGGTTGTTTACAGAGGGTTAGTGCCAGTATCATGATCATTTTAGTACTTTATTTTATGTAATAGATTTCTTATAAAAAAGAAGACATTTCACTTATTGCCTAGGTGATTCTTAAGGGGAGAGACATGAAGATATCACATTGAATAACCACTTATCATTGATCATTGGTCTTCATTTCTGTCTGGGTTTCAATTTGTGTTGTTCTTATATCCCTGGCTTTTAGTGCAGCACAAAGAAATTGTATAATCATCAGGAAATGAAAAGCCACTTTACTGAAGTCTCTGTAAAACTAAGTGTTTGGTGTGTTATGATTGACTTTCTCCTATATTAAGTTTACCTTAATGGTGTTGACTATAAAAACTGTGATTTTTCAAACAAAAATGATTACATTACAGTTTATGCTACATAAACTAGATGAAGAAAATATTGGAAAATCCACTCATTGGTAGCAAAACTGCCTAATGGGCCTATTTAATTTTTTTCTTATAAAGAATAATAAATGTAAAGCAAAAGTTTAATATTTCAGTCTTATTTGCTCCACTTGATGGGGTGTTGTGAGTTTCAAGGGATATGATATTGTGTAACTGCAATATGTAGTATTTAATAGTTGATCACATTTTCATCCTTTAAGTCTAGATGTTCTTCTCAGTTATACAATATGAATTTCTGGGCCCAGATATTTAAACCAAACGTGGATTCTGTGTGTAGTCCCCTGCTGCGCTACTATTATGATATTGATCTAGGCAGGTAATTTTAAATTGTGGTATCTGTTGGATTACTAGTTTGGATGAAATAGATCATAAAGGAAATACCCTAGACTAAAGTATAGCCCAAGCCTAGGAAGAAGAATAATTTAAGAAAAGGAAATGAACGCACTTTAATTATTGCTCCATTTCCCAGAGTGCTACAAGTTTCTCCACAAAAATAAATCAGGAAACACACATGTTCTATTCCCTTCTGGTAGATTCACAATAAATTTCGAAAACTTCAGGGAAATAGAGAACAGTATGTGTTGCGGTTAAATGTGGAGGCTCTGGGTGTGAACCCTGCACCTGCCACTAACTAGCTTGTGTGACCTTGGGAAAGTTACGTAACGTCTTCTACCTCAGTTTCCCCATGTGTAAAATGGAGATAATATACCTATAATACCTATCTTATAAAGTTACTGTGCAGTTAAATCAGATGTTTCATAGAAAAGACAGCACTGTAACTGACACTTACTAAACGTTAGCTACTGTTCGTGATAGTACCAGTGATAGACAAATCGTTAATCCCTGGGCTTCCTGTGCTTACTTGGCCATGGGATTCTTTTTTTGAGGAATATCTCACAGAATTAGAGTTGTGTTGAATTAACTTTGAGAAGTTCTACATTATGTTATGATACATCATACACTTCTTTGTTTCCTTTTATTCGCTAGTTGCCTCATGAATATGATTTATTATTATATCTTATATATTAACTTAAATAGAATGATTCTTTTCAGAGTTTCAAGATATATTCTCTTTTATCATAGTTAATTTCAAATTGCTGTAGGACAGCTGGTATAATGGTAAGCACATTTTTCCACTGGAAAAAGCTAGAGCTCACATTCATGTGGCAAAGCCAGCACTCTACACAGCATCTCGTCCTTCCACTCTGTTTATCCCCAAGGCAGTGTTGTTTCTCAAGGTCAAGCAGAGTCCATTGTGTTTCCTTGTATTTTCTAGTGTACCCAGCACTGTCCTAAGGATAGAATAGATGCTTTATATGTGTTGGCTGGAATGAGAATGAGGCAAGTGGAGGTTTTTTCCAAGCAGGTTTTAGTAGAGCTCTTTAATTGGATCCTCCCCATACCTGGCTAGTTTTAGAGGCTGCATAATTTTGAGACTGTGTAATTGTTTTAGAACATTCACCGAGAAGAGTAGGGATTTCTCAACTAAGGGCATATGTTTGAATGATTAATTTTCTTTCAGATGTTAAAACTGAGTGTTTGGTATCCATTAACATTCTAGTTACTGTCTGTTTTTCTTGGATAGTATGTCATGTAGAAATGAAAGTAATTAATAGGCCCAGTTACTTTGGAAACATTTTGTGATAATGAAGGCCGGTCACTCAGGTCCTTTGCTCCTTCAGTGCATTGTCTGATGGAGTCACATAAGCTTTGGGTCCAGAAATGAAGTAGTATCTAACTCTTAGGATTTAGGTCGTGCTAAGTCAGTTAGCCAGCAAGCACTTAAGGATCATCTGTTATGTTATCTTTTTCCTTAATGCAAATTATTCAGGCTAAGACTCAAGTTGTCAGCTTTCTGGCCATGTATTCTGATCTCTAGGT